CTGAAATTGATCCAGCTCTGTTATATATTACAGGAAGCAGTGTTTCTGCGGATCCCATGGATCAGACATTTCGCAATGTACAATTTGAAATTGCGGTTGCTCTTGGTCCCCTTCTGCTTATATTAGATAAGGCAGAGAAGGAGGGATCCTCTCATAACCCTTCCTTACCAGTTTTACTGGCTTCTAAGATGGCACTTCTAAAAGCTTCTAGCAGAGCGGTGCTTATTATCGGTCAATCCTTCAACTATATTTCCAACATTCGCAGAACCGCTGGCTGCATGCAGCAGGGATGTTTGATTTGCCACCTAAATCACATGAATTCCCTAATTTCGAAAACTCCTTTCTATTTGGCCCCTCTTTTATACAAGAGGTGAAAGGACGATACAAAGCTAGGAGATCTTTCTCTGATTTAAAGAAGAGCTTTTCAGCTCACTAATCAGTGCTCCCTCGCCAGCGCCGCCCGCCCGCATGGATTCTTAGTTAGCCGCCCACCTGCCTTCCTTCCTGTCAGAAGGGACCCCAGGTAAAAAAAAAATCACCCAGCACTCCCAAAGGTAGAGAGGCTGGGTGGATATAAACGAATAAAGAAAAAGTAATTGGTTAATGTTTGGGGGGGGGGGGCTGTCAGTGTGTGTATGTCTGAGTGATTGTGTGTGTCTAGCTGTCATTGTGTGTATGTCTATCAGTGTGTATGTCTGGCTGTCAGTGTGTGTATGTCTGTCAGTGTGTATGTGAGTGATTGTGTATGTATGTCTTTCAGTGTGTATGTGAGTGATTGTGTATGTATGTTTGTCAGTGTGTATCTGAGTGATTGTGTGTTTCTGGCTGTCAGTGTGTGTATGTCAGTGTGTATGTGTGGCTGCCAGTGTGTATGTCTGTCAGTGTGTATGTGAGTGATTGTGTGTGTATGTCTGTCAGTGTGTATCTGAGCGATTGTGTGTGTATGTCTGTTAGTGTGTCTGTCACTGTGTGTCTGTCAGTGAGTGAGAGTGTGTGTGTGTCTGCCAGTGAATATGTGTTTGTTTCTGAGTGATTGCATCTGTGAGGGTGCCTGTGTGTCTGAGTGAATGTGTGTGATTGTGTATGCCTGTCAGTGTGTGTGTCTGCATCATTGTGTGTGTATGTCAGTGATTGTGTGTATGTCAGTGAGTCAGTGATTGTTTGTGTCAAATCAGTGTGTGTATGTCAGTGTATCTGAGAGTGTGTCTGTCAGTCAAAGTGTGTGTTAGTCGTTTAACAGGAAGAGGTGTGGCATTGACAGGAAGGGGTGGGGCAAATGTAAATTAGGGGGTGCCCGAGTTCCGTCATGCATGGGCAGCACAGATCGAAATACATCACTGGGTCAAGGATGGTCCTTCCCACGAGTGTCAGAAAAGAGGCAAACATGATATTGAAAGGGGCAAGTCCACTTCCTCGCCCCCTTCTGTAAGGGCCTTTTGCATTAATCTTGACCACAGATGCTTCTTCCAAGGGGTTAGAACTCTATAAGTGCATTCTAAATATATTTTCCAAGTTGTGATTTTACTTCACCATATGCAGTTTTGTCTCTTTCCATATATACAAAGATTCACATCTTATACATCATCCGAAATTCCTCCTGATCCATTAAACCCTGGGTGGGGTGATAAGCCTGAAACCATAATTTGTTTGTGAGTTTTCTGCTTACATCACATTTATTATTGTGTTAAAACTATATTAGGCTATGTTTTATTCATTATTATTATAGATTTCCATTGATCTACTGATCCTGGTCAGCTTTTTCAGGTGGTTTACATATAATTTATACGTATAGTAGGTTTTTCCCACTTTTGTTTTTTGTCTCATTCTATCAGAGGAGCTTCAGCTTCAAAAGCAGCAGCGAGAGGCTTTCCTCTTCCTATTATCCTTAAAGCTGCAAGATGGTCCTCCAGTAAGACTTTCGTTAAGTTTTACTGGAGGTCATCTGCAGCTGAACATTTACAGTTCCTTAGGACCACCACCAGGTGTGTGCTGTTCAACACTAGCTTTGCTAGGTGGTTATGCCTCCCGGAGGGACAAAATAGAGTTTTCAGGAATCGATAAGCTGCAAACTTTCTTTGTCCTAGGGATAAGCATAACCACCTAACAAAGTACCCATCCCTCCCTCCCCAGGTTAATTTGTAGTGCCTGGTGGTGGCAGGGTATTTCTCTGGTTTGGGAATGTTCTAATTAAAGTATTTTTTTGTGTTTGTTTTCTTTTTCACTTATATATTTATATTTATTCTGTTTATCTTTACAGATTACAACCGGCTACCCAGACGGGATCATAAAGCCAAGGACCCTCCTACATAGTTCGGGAGCTTAAGAAACTTCTTCCAGAAGTTCTTTGATTATGAGTTATACTTTACTAATATTTCTAACAGAGACTGTTTGTTTTTCACCTTGATGATCAAATATTGTTTTGTTACATTTTCATATGTCACTATTAACTGTCAGTACTTGAGAAATGTTACTTTTTTTATTGTTACTTTATTATTCTTAGAGTTGAGCGGAACATTAGGTTTTTTGGACCCCGAACACGGACATATCACTGTATGATCGGGTTGGAGTTCGGTGTTCAGCGATTTAATGGCGCGTTTTTAAAGGCTGCAGGGCAACCAATCAACAAGCGTTTGACTCATGTGCCCTTAGAAGCCATCACAGCCATGGCTTTCTGCAGTGTGCATACCGGCAAGGAAGGCAGGGTTGAGGAGTGGGTGGAAGATGATGTGTGCTAATCTGCTAAATAGTACATTTTGTGGCCTGCTCTTCATATGTGAGAGTTAAATCGAAGCATCTAATAGTGTGCTTTCTTCGCACTTGTAAACATTCTAATTGTTTTGCTGCTAATCTGCTAAATAGTACATTTTGGGGCGTGCACTTCATATCTTAGAGTCAAATAGAAGCGTCTAATACTGCGGTTACAGCGCAATTGTAAACATTCTAATTGTTTTGCTGCTAAACTGCTAAATAGTACATTTTGGGGCCTGTTCTTCATATCTGAGAGTCAAATCGAAGCGTCTAATAGTGTGCTTTCTGCGCACTTGTAAACATTCGAATTGTTTTGCTGCTAATCTGTTAAATAGTAAATTTTGGGGCCTGTTCTTCATCTCTGAGAGTCAAATCGAAGCATCTAATAGTGTGCTTTCTGCGCACTTGTAAACATTCTAATTGTTTTGCTGCTAATCTGCTAAATAGTACATTTTGGGGCATGCACTTCATATCTTAGAGTCAAATAGAAGCGTCTAATACTGCGGTTACAGCGCAATTGTAAACATTCTAATTGTTTTGCTGCTAATCTGCTAAATAGTACATTTTGGGGCCTGTTCTTCATATCTGAGAGTCAAATCGAAGCGTCTAATAGTGTGCTTTCTGTCCACTTGTAGACATTCTAATTGTTTTGCTGCTAATCTACTAAATAGTACATTTTAGGGCCTGTTCTTCATTTCTGAGAGTCAAATCGAAGTGTCTAAAAGTGTGCTTTCTGCGCACTTGTAAACATTCTAATTGTTTTGCTGCTAATCTGCTAAATATTACATTATGGGGCATGCACTTCATATCTTAGAGTCAAATAGAAGCGTCTAATACTGTGGTTACAGCGCAATTGTAAACATTCTAATTGTTTAGCTGCTAAACTGCCAATTAGTACATTTTGGGGCCTGTTCTTCATAACTGAGAGTCAAAACTAAACGTCTAATAGTGTGGTTACAGCGCAATTGTAAACATTCTAATTGTTTTGCTGCTAATCTGCTAAATAGTACATTTTGGGGCGTGCACTTCATATCTGAGAGTCAAATACTGCGGTTACAGCGCAATTGTAAACATTCTAATTGTTTTGCTGCTAATCTGCTAAATAGTACATTTTGGCGCCTGTTCTTCATATCTGAGAGTCAAATCGAAGTGTCTAATAGTGTGCTTACTGCGCACTTGTAAACATTCTAATTGTTTTGCTGCTAATCTGCTGCTTACATTGGAATTTAAAAAAGTAAAAAAATTGCGCTAAATAGAATGTTTGTGTGTTAACTTCAGCGTAACTTTGATTCGAATTTACTACATCGGTCACTTGTAATATTGTTTCACACCTACAACACTTGTTACACAGATCTAAGTGATGGAAAACAGATTGATATTTTCTATACTAAAAACTACCAGATAACAAGCTGCTATATTTAAACCAGTGATCAATAGCTAAGAGGTACTTCAACAATATTGTAATTCTGGGGCAATACCCTCACAAGTCAAACTGAGAGGTCAGTTTATAAGGAAAACTGTTGCCTGGAGGAAATTCTAAAACAATTTCCATATGTCCTTTGCAGACTTTACATGCTGGAAAAACACAGGTGCCAACTTCTGTGGCTTTCTGCAGTGTGCATACCAGCAAGGAGTGCAGGGTTGAGGAGTGGATGGAAGATGATGTGGAGGATGATGAGGTCCTAGACCTCGCATGGAATTAAGGTCATGCGAGTGACGTGTGCAGTTTGGAGGAAGAGGCGCTGTGGCACAGAGGCACCAGCACAGCATAAGAGGGAGCAGGGTGCAAAAGCGGAGCGGCCATCCCCTAGCGCTCATCGGCATGTATTAGCTTGAGAATTACCAGTTATTCAAGTAATACATGTAGCGATCAAAGGATCCATAATAGACTTGAGCGAACCCGAACTGCAAAGTTCGGGTTCGTACCAGATTTAATGATCAATTTGTAGTTTCACAGTGAGGTGACCAGGCAGTCCGGTGACCAGGACCCAGACACTTTCAGGATGTGACATTCACTATAGCGGCTGTGCACGCTTTTGGCATTGTCACCCTGCTGCTGCTCGCCTGTCTGCTCTGCAGTGTAACTTCGGCCTTCCCGCTCACCGCCTCATGAGACTTTGCGAGCAGCAGCAGGCGATAGTGGAGTTTCAGCTGCAGCACGCACTTCCCTCCAATTGATCAGAGTTAAAGGATTTCAAGTGGACTCATTACAATTACAGGGCCTCTAAAGAGTCCTGTATTGTTATTTGTCGTCACTACCTTCCCGCGTTGGGAGTGGGTCATTTGCGCGCCTGCTGCCTTCCTTGCATGTGGTAGCCGTTTCTCAGGGTCCCTGTACGGAATGGAATCCTGATTCCGCGTTACCCGTGGTCACCATGGTAGGCGCAGAAACTGGCATCGAAAGTTGATATGGATGACATCCGCATGCAAAGTCGCCATCACGGGGATGTGCGATTTGCCCGAGGTTCTCTAGAGTCAACAAAGTTCCTGAGCAACTATAATGTCAACAGCTACTCTGCAGAACAGAGTTGTCTTTTTTTATATGTCCCAATATTTTGGGGGCTACCCCAATTAAAATATATATATATTTATATATATATATATATATATATATATAAAAACAGTGTTGGCTACCTCATCCTCCTCCTCCACCGCCACGGTCACCACCTCTTCAACCTATGGGTCACTTAGTATAAACTAGGTACACATTAGCAGAGGCTTGTGAAGGCTTTTTCTCCATGCATCAGGAGTTGAGCATTTCTCCATGCATCAGGACTGCAAGAAATGCACCACAGGCTGCAAACGTTTCTTTATTTGTATGTCCCTAAATTTTGTGGGCTACCACAATTAAAAAAAAACAAACATAAAAAACAGTGTTGGCTATCCTCCTCCTCCACCGCCAAGGTCACCGCATCCTCAAACTATGGGTCACTTAGAATAAACTAGGTACACATTAGCAGAGGATTGTGAAGGCCTTTTCTCCATGCATCAGGAGTTGAGCTCAGTTTGAACAATTAAAAGAATACCCTGCACTCAAACCCTCTCTCAAATGGATAATTATTTTGATCCTCCTGACAGCCATGCTTTAGATTTTCATTTATGTTCTTCCAAAGCTAAAATCAAAGATTTTATCTAGTGCTATTTTATGGCTCAGCTGTATTTTTAATTTTTATGTTATTTTAAATGATTTCCCTATCCACATTTGTTTGCAGGGCACTTGTCCTACTCTTACCCCCATTTTACTTTCTTTTGCAGCTCTCTCGCCTGTCCAGGAGTAGAGATGTCGCGAACCGTCCGCGAACTTCTTGCGAACGGTTCGCCGCGGTTCGCCACGAACCGTTCGCGGCGAACTCCGGTCAGCTGACACATCCCGGCCAATCTCCAGCAGACCCTCCCTCCTAGACCCTCCTACTTCCTGGACAGCATCCATGTTGAAGGCAGCTTCAACATGGATGCTGTCCAGGAGGTGGGAGGGTCTGGGAGGGAGGGTCTGCTGGAGATTGGCCGGGATGTGTCAGCTGACCGGAGTTCGCCACGAACGGTTCGTGGCGAACCTCGGCGAACCATTCGCAAGAAGTTCGCGGACGGTTCGCGACATCTCTATCCAGGAGTTTTTAGAGGCATTTTTGTGGCCAAAAGTTTGGGTCGCCATTGACTTCAACCCGGACTTTTTTCAAAGTTTGGCCGAACCCGCCAGACCCGAACATCCAGGTGTCCGCTCAACTCTAATTATAATGCCTTTCCACTCTGTTGACATAACCCTTTCATAGGAGTAAGTTCATGTTTTGGTTGAGTAAATAAAACATTGTTATCCCCCTTACTCTTTCCCTTTATTATAGTTAGTACCGTGTACATTGATCTCTATCCTACACTAGGGGTTCTCTGTCTCTGGATGAGTTAACCATCTGCACTATCCTGATTTTAAAACCTGAGGTGATCAGAGCTGCCTCAAGCTACACAGCTGTCCTGACTACCTGATTGGCTAAAATGCACAAGCATTTTTTAGCGCGGCAAAATCGTTCTCCTGGAGGCTGCCACATACCCGGTTATGCTTATCCCTAGGACAAAGAAAGTTTGCAGGTCATCGATTCCTGCAAACTCTATTATAATTTGAAAGCTATAATTCCAAACACTAGTATGCGTCCATGTGTCAAGGTTGTACATACATTTCAATCAACTGTTTTGTGGAGATGTGTGGAAATATGTTTTATGTTCTGGAAAACTATGCATGTTTGTGTCTTGTTGTTTTCATGTGGAGACTGCTGTCTGTATTTTTGTGTGGTTGTTTATATGTTTGTGTTTCTCACACACACACACATACACACACAGACACACACCAGCAGCCTCACTTCAACTAACACATACACATAGCCTCCCTCTAGCATAGCACACACAATAGCCCCCCCCTATAAATAGCAGCCTGTATATGACATTAGAAACATGTGTAAAAAATAATTTTATTTCACCAATGCAATATACATTAAACAAAATGTACAAAAAATCAGTATTATATTTGCTTAAATATTATTGAAATATCTAACTATATTACAACAGAGAAATTTACTTTCTTTAGCTCAGCAGTATATTTTTATTGAACTTTGCAAGCAATTGACAGATCATTATACCTGATAACCTTTCTTTTAATAATGCTGTGCTCAAGGTGGATTGGTTAAGCATTGCACAAGTCAGAACCCTATCAGTGTGACTCCACTAAATGCTCAATAACAGAGGCTTAATTGTTCATTCTTAGAGTACCTATTACAAGAATATTAAAATGCAATTTTACCAACGTTGGCTTTACTGATGGTCTCTCCAACAGAGAAACAAAGATGAAGTAAGGACAAGTTAATTAAATATTCATTATTGGTTTCATTTTTGCATTTTCAAAGACAAATTTGCCCAAGGAAGATATACTGATTTGTGCATATTGAACACTAACAATTTAATTAGTGAATTAGCAAAATAGTGACAATACAGTTTCCCTATTTATTTTTTTCTGAGCATTATAAAACAAAATGTGTAATTTTACTATCTCTCTAGTGTATGGCTTTTTGAATTTGATTGCAAATAACAGCATGTGTTGCAGAAGGATTTAGAATTGCTAGAAACAATTGTGTTTTCTATACAATCTGTATGGTTAATTTGTAAGATATTTATGACATTATATGAAGAAATATTGTTCAATTAACAAAAAATGATATACGTTTAATACAGACTACACACAATGTGTGTGTGTGTGTGTGTATGTGTGTCTGTATATGTGTTTGTGTATGCATGAATGTGTGTGTAGGTGTTTGTGGATGGGTGTGAATTCATGTGTATGTTTGTTCCATTTCACAGCAGCTATGATGACAAGAAACAATGTTTGACATGCTAATGTCTTTGAATAAAACTTACAAATATATTGACAAGGAATATATTAAATCTATATTTCTAACTTTATGATACACAAAATTGCAATATGTGTTTATGTGTAATAATGCAATCTCTGTAGTTCTGCAGACTTCTATAAGACACTCAAACTTTGGTCTTGTAGTTTATGATGTCTCTGTAGCCTCTCAATAAGAAGAGTTAGGAAAATGTCTGGCAAAATCAGTGAGATCAGAAAAAAAAAAGGTTATGCGTCGCAACATGACTGAAAAAATGTGAACGGTTCCCCAAGAGCTTTTCCTAATTAGTGGAGTCATCCAAATGATACCTTCGAATCCAGCAACCCTTGTTTTGGACATAAAAGGTTACTAAAAAAGAAAATGAGGACAGTATGTTGATTAATCCACTGCTTCCCCACTCATATGCAAGAGTTAGTAAAATACAAGAAATACCCAAATCACCTTTAACCAGAAGAGGGCTTCTGCTCTAGAAACAAATGCTAAACTTCTAATATATTCAGATCTATGGCTTCATAACAAAAATATTATTTGATAAATTAAACACTGAATTAATATGGAAATACCCATTGGTGACACATTTACAAATATTATATTTCACTTGAGAATGAATCAGAGTCACTATAGTAAGGTAAGGCAAAATATGTATTGTGACTAATGCAACAAAAAACATTTCAAGGAGTAAGTTAAGCTTCACCGGTCACAGGAATTATTTTCATAGGAAAAATGAATATATCTTTTGACAAGATGTATTTTCATATTCCTTTTGGATAAGACTGATTCATAAATGATCTAAATAGTTTTTTATAAAAGGTTCAATAGGTAAGGAATAAAAAAGATATGACAACATTTTCAATGTGAGTACTTAGCTTTTTTACCATGTTTGTAATATAAACAGACATTCAATACCTGAATATTTATGGTAGGGGCCTTAAGAATGGAATATTATATATAATCTGCAACTTTGCATCACTTACCCTTAACCCCATTTATAAATGTTGTATGTTTAAGCCTTTGCATTTGTTTTGTATGGCAACGTAAAATATACATAAAATCTAGATAATACTTCACTAAGGCTGCACTGTTCCTGTGAAACTCCCTTTTCCGGTATACTTTCTCCATTCCTTCAAACAAATCATTGAAAACTCACTTCTTTAGGAACGCTCATCAATTAAACCATTAACAACTTTTCCTCCCCGCACCTCAATTCCTCTCTTGCAACTGTCATAAAAAAACAACTGCCCCATACTTACACTTTGTGTCATTATACCACTCCCTCTAGCATGTAAGCTCACTGAGCAGGACCCATAATCCCTCTGTTCTTGTGCGTCCAACTCGTCTGGTTACAAATACGCATCTGTTAGTCCACCCGTTGTACAGTGCTGCCAAATTTGTTGGTGCTTTATAAATAATAATAGTAATAAGAATAATAATACAACCTCACAAAACAATATTATCCTCCTATATTTAAAATTCCGCATATGCTATATATTGGAGGTCCTAAATTCTGTAGACTAGTCAATATGTTGATAAACTGCATATATCATGTATATATATATGTCAAGTATCCTTCTGGAATCAACTTTTCAAATCTTGAAAAGTCAATTTCTACATGCCTGATACTTAGCTTATGGTTCCAGGAGTGCCCTGATTGACTTTTGATCTGAGCTCTGCTGGTTGCTGCTCCTTGCCTCCACAACCAATGTTAGAGTCAGATGTTCCTAATCAGGAAACTCCCTTTAGCTGTCCTGAGCTAAGCATCGCAGTGCAGGACTTAGATCATTGGCTGAGAGTGTAGTTGTACTCTCAACCAATAAATTAAGCCGTGCATTGCAGGACATAGCTCATTGGCATCAGATGATCACTCTTAGCCAATGAGCTATGCCTTGTACTGCGGAGCTTAGTTCAGGAGAACTAATGGATGTTTCTGCTGAGAAACCTCTGTCTCTCTGGTATAAGCAGTAGAGACGGCGAGCAGCACCATGAAGACATCAGGTAAGAAGTAAAGCCATCCAGAAAAGGTTTGACTCCTCACAATGTGGGATGCCAGGGCACCACAAGCACCATAACCAGTAAAGCGAACTATAGGGGTAATTGTGCTTGAAGTGTTCCTTTAAGGCCACATTTTTAAAGCCAAGTTCATGGATATTTTATTGACTGTTATCTCT